ATGGACCTCAACGATCGCGTTATATCGGGGGCTACACTGTATAACAAACTTTAACGATTATTGTACTCCAAATTTTATATTACTGCAGTAATATTTGTCAGTACATTTTCTAGTAAGAAAGACTAATAATATTTAATTAACATGTTATTTTAATTGGCAGCCCGTATTATTGATGATATTTTCACTCCTCCTTTTCTAAGCTCTAAAATAACATATCTTATTGTTCTTTGAAAACCTGATCATTAATATAACGTTCATTTATAATTGTGCGTATTTCTGACTTTCTCCTTTATATATAATTTAATAGTATTCGTGTCAGTTCAGGTATATGGTGGTTTGTTTGCTGGTTTCTTAGTACAAAGCTATAAAATGTGCTATTTGCTTTCTGTCCACCGCAGAAAGTCGAAACCCAGATTTTGATCATTGTAAACCCATAAATTTACCGTTGATCCACCGGGAGACGTATTACTTATAGTTGATTTTCCGATCATTTTTTATGACATGAACGTGTGATAAGAATATAATTTTGAGGTATGCATTAATTAAGAGATTAATTTTTTTTAATTTCAAGTTTTTGAATGATGGTTGACCCAACCTAAAAAAAAAGGTTATAAAGCCCTATTTTATAATATATCATAAACATATTTCTATTTCTCTCTACCAAATTAATAACAAAAATAATTTATCTCAGTTGGCCGAAACACGTTATTGAATGAAATTAGTTCATTCTTGCTCTAATTAAGTTGAATAAATGTCATTAAAAACGGGAAATTCGTTAGGTTCTCGTTTCGATTTCGATTCTATTCCTACTAACTATTCTAATATTTTGAGCTATGAGAAGCATCAAGATTTGTCTTGATCTCTTTCGAGAATTTGGTTTTCCCTGCGTATGTTCCCATGTGGGTCAGTTATATGTTTGCGGACTTACAACAATAAAATCCGGTGTTCGCTTCCTTCCTGTAGACAAAGCACAGATGGTACACTGTGCATCTTTGTACAAAATTCTAGCAAATTTCTTTTGACACAAACAAACAAACATTTAGACACAAAAAATATGCGGAGACATGAGTGTTACTACAAAATTCTGTCTTCTTTTGTTTTGAAACAGTTATTTTATGAGATAGTACAAAATATAAGCAACGATAGTGTATTATGTTTATAACGACTTTTAACAAATCAGAAATGCGTAAACTAAATGTCGATAAAATATTTAATATGTGAATCGTAATAGACGCTATTTAATTACTTCATCAAGTTTTCAAAAAATTAAATACGGTGTTAAAGAATTTTGTTTTACTTATCCTTGAATCATACGATCTACTGTTGAATAATAGATCAAATTTAATTATAACCTTAACTATTCTTTTGCAGCACAAAATTATAGCAGTTAAACCTTGAAATTGCTGGTGTGACTCTATGAATTGATAGGTGGCGCTGAAGCCGCTGGCAACGCCTTCTTCGTTTGTTTTTAGAACAACTTTCATATCGTGGATCCCCACGTCAGATACTACAGGTCCAGGTGATGTCGTGGAACAGTATCGTCCTAAAGCTTTTTCTCGGCCGTTCGGATAGATCTCGTAAATTTCTAGCCAGTCTTCTTTACACACTTCACTGCAGAGATTTATAAAAGAAAATAATTTTGAACAAGTAGTCGTCGTAACATCCACACTAAATTCTAATTCACTGAATGTTTATGCTAACAGATAAAATAAATAAATGTGCGTGGCAACAATACATTGATATATATTTTTTTTATTATTGTTTATCAATATATTTAGCAATCACCATAATGGAATCCTTGTTTATTTCTAACTTTGACATTTTTCTCGAGATTAAACGTAAAATCTAAAGTTAGCTTCTGTTTCTGTAGTTACGACGATATTCTATCTATAGCATTGCTGTAAACGTTTGATAGCTTTTGTAAAGAATATTTTGGGATTTCTCGCTCCTTTATGCTTTGTTTTTGTTTTCATACTATCTCCATGGATCATCCACCATCGGGCCAACAACGAAAATACAAAACATGATAATTATATATTTATGCTATTTGTCAGAAACGAACCTAACGTATAATTTATAATGGAATATATCTAAGAAATAATCCTTGAGTTAATTGAAATCACTTGTGAATTTATTTCTTTGAAAACCCTTATCAACGCTGGCCTTAAGCATGAAGAAGACAAGCCAGTGCTTCAGGTCTCGCGTTATTCGAAACAATAAAAAAACATGTGCAGCAAATGATTAATCCCTTCTGATAACTGTTAGATGTCCTCTAGTAAAACAGTTGCATGTCTGTGGACTTGTACTTAGTAATCGGGTTTCGATACCCGTGGTGGGCAGAGCACAGATAGCCCATTGTGTAGCTTTGTGCATAACTACAAACGAACCAAATTGTTAGGCACCTACTTGTAGCCTTAATGATACATTTTATACTTTCGTGACAAATGGTACAATTTTTATGTATCTTGTTTTGTCTTTGTTGGCGCCATGATGGATCATCTTTGGTTTTTGTTTGGATTTGGATTCTGTTTCTTCTAAACATTGTAGTGTTATGAGTTATGAAAGGAGTCTTTAAAGTTTTATTTTGAGAATTTGGTTTTGCTTTTTATATTTTTTCATCATTGTTATCTAGTACTGAAATTTTCGTCTATAAATGTTTAACGTAGACAAGATAATTTGGCAATTTTCATTTATATAATTATTGAATTTATGTTTTATTTTATGAATAGCAGAATGTGGAGAAAACATTTCCGGCCACCAGTACGGCCTAATCAAGAGTCCTGGCTTTCCTGACCCATATGAACCTCATAGACAAGTTTGTACATGGTTCGTCAATGTTCGACCTTACCATAAAGTTCTTCTAGTTTTCGATGACTTTCTGATAGAAGGTGACCCAGTCGGTAAGGCTTATCTGTTGACACACGCACACTGTAACTTAGAGAAGTGCTGATTATGTAATCAATATAAAGTAGTATGTGAGATGTGGGAATTTTTTCCTTCAGTATTTTTTTTTTCAGCGGTGACAATTTTCTATGCGAAGAATAAATTGTGTTATAGAAAAAAAAAGGTCCTTTTAAATTCTCTGTTTATTTCAGTAAACTTGAATTGCACTTATTAGCTACTGCTGTGATTTTGCCTTATTTATGAGCTCGTTGCTGTCCCAATTTAGGATCTCCCTTTTAATAAGTTCTTTAAAATGTTTAAAAAAAGAGAAAAACGGGACCCGTGCTGGGTCTCAACGCTCATGACAGTTCGTATTACATATTTGTAAAATAATTATGTCAAAATATCAGTTCATAACCAGTTTATATACTACAAGTTAAACACGTAAAAGGTTTCAAA